ACGGGCTCGGGGGGGCTGGGGGCTTGCTTGTGCCTCGCCATGGCTGACGGAACGTCTCCCGCCCCGTAGGACGCCGGGCGCCTTCTCTACATCGGGCAGAACGAGTGGACGCACGTGAACTGCGCGCTGTGGTCAGCGGAGGTGTTTGAGGATGACGATGGGTCTCTGAAGAACGTGCACATGGCTGTGATCAGGGGGAAGCAGCTGGTGGGTACAGACACAGCGGGAACACGGCGACGAGGTTGCTGGGGGCGGGGTTTCTGCCTGTTCCCTCCTCGCTTTTTCGTTTTCCATGCTACGTAGAGCAGAACTGGCTGGAGATACATGACAGTTGATTTTACCCGTGCTCAGTTCAGGAATATTGTGGGGACCAAGAGGAGATTTAACGGGAGAATCAGAGTCGTGTCGTTGTCGGAGGGTGTTTGATCGCCAGCGCTGCGCCTTGAGCAGTTGGTGCCATGTCTAGTCACATCCTGGCGTTTAAAATAACACGGAATACGCACAGCACGGCCCTGCGCTGCGTTAAAGCCCGGCTCCTCTCGCCCTAGGGCAAGGGCTTGCCAAATCCGTAGCACTCCAGGAGCCTTTTCCTGTTGGAGTATGGATGAAGGGTCTCGCCATCCAGCTGGTACCTAGCTGCTCTGTTAAACTGTGCAAAGGACGGTGGCGTGTCCTCTCCTGAACTCCCGGGAAAGTTAGTCTGCCCAAATTTTGGTTTAATTGTGTCACCTGGTCCCAAGCACCTCCTACAGCAGCCAAAGCAGCAGGGTAGGATTGCTCGCAGCCCACGCGGGGAACGTGCTGGGCGGGAGAAGCAGTCGGCGTGTGCGTCGGTGGGGCTTGCAGATGGGGCACGGAGAGCACACGGGGAAGTTGGGCCTGGAGCAGCCCCTCTGCCAAGCAGTTGTGTGCGAGGGACGCTCCTTCCTCTCACCGCCTCCTCCGTGTCTCACTGTGCGCGGGAGTCGCGGCAGCGGCCCGGCGCAGCGATGGTGCGGGACGTAACGGCAGCGGCAGGAACGGCTGCCTGCTTGTGGGGGGTGTTGGCTCCTCACAGGGCTTCTTCACTTTCGTAGCGCTGCGAGTTCTGCCAGAAGTCGGGCGCCACGGTCGGCTGCTGCCTCACTTCCTGCACCAGCAACTACCACTTCATGTGCTCGCGAGCCAAGAAGGTTTACTGCCAGAGGCACCGCGACCTCATCAAAGGAGAGGTGAGATCCCTCCTTGCCCCCGGCCTTGCCCGACGGCGGCATCAGCCCCTACCCCTGCGCGCGTTGTCCGAGCCCACCCCCTGCGCGTTCCCCTGCGCAAGGGCTGGCCCGTCGTGCTGTCCCAAAGAAGTTTGGGATCCTGCGGGCACGGGGAGCTCGGCAGG